TCGGTATCGGCATTAGTATCGGCATCAGTATCGGTATCGGCCTCGGCATCGGTATCGGTATCGGTATCGGTATCAGTATCAGTATCAATATCAGTATCAGTATCAGTTTCAGTTTCAGTTTCAGTATCAGTATTCGTATTCGTATCAATATTAGTATCAGTATCAGTATCAACATTTGTATCAATATCAGTATCGATATGAGTGTCAGTATCAGTATCAATATCAGTATCAGTATCGATATTAGTATCACTATCAGTATCAGTATCACTATCAATATCAATATCAATATTAGTATCAATATTAGTACGAGTATCAGTATGATTGTGAGTATCAGTATGAGTATGAGTATCAATATTAGTATGAGTATCAGTATGAGCATCGGTATTAGTATCATTATCAATATCAAATATAAGTATTAGTATTAGTTTTACTATTAATATTAATATTTCTATGAGTCTCAGTATTAGTGTCAATATCAGTATAGGTATTAATATTAGTATTAATATAATATTCCTATAAGTATCAATATGAGTATAAGTATTAGTATCAGTATCATAATTATTATTGTTATTAGTATCAGTATTAATCTTAGTATTAATATTAGTATTACAATTATTATTAATATTAGTATCAATATCACTATTAGTATCACTATAAGTATCAGTATTATTATTAGTATTATTATTAGTCTTATTCTTCGTATTAGTATTAGTATTAGTATTAGTATTAGTATTAGTATTAGTATAACTATCATTATCAATGTAAGTATAAGTATTATTATCACTATTAGTATCAATATTAGTATTATTCTTAGATTTAGTATTATTCTTAGTATTAGTATCAGTATTAGTATTAGTATCAATATGAATATTAGTATTAGTATTATTATTAGTATTAGTATTAGTATTGGTGTGAGTATGAGTATTATTATTAGTATCAGTATTAGTATTAATATACGTATTAATATCGGTATTAATATTAGTATTAGTATTGGTATTAGTATTAGTATTAGTATTAGTATTAGTATTAGTATCAGTATTAGTATTAGTATTAGTATTTGTATTATTATTAGTATTAGTATTAGTATTATTATTAGTATTAGTATTAGTATTCGTATTAATATTAGTATTAGTATTAGTATTAACATTAGTATTAATATTAGTATTAGTATTAGTATTAGTATTAGTATTAGTATTAGTATTAGTATTAGTATTAGTATTATTATTAGTATAAGTATTAGTATTAGTATTAGTCGAATTAGTATCACTATTGGTAATAATATTGATATCAGTATTGATATCGGTCTTGGTATCGGTAGTGGTAGTGGCGTATACATCATATCTCTTTATTTATAAGTTTTATTATTGTTTGAGTAGTGTGCATCACTAATTGAACGCCATTAGTGATAAATTTGCAGGTTATTTGAATATCTATTGTGTTACTTCTCTCCTACCATGTTTGTTGTTACCTCAGTTATTTTGCAGAAGATTCACATGGTGTAGTAGATTGCAATCAAAGAAATAGAGTTATACCATATGTTTTAAATGATATCACTTAATCTTGATATCGTGTTTTGCGCGCTTCATGTTTTCTTATTTGTAATATTTAACTTAATTTCATATGTTACAACTCTAAATTAAAAGATAAAGTTTATGTTTTTTTTTTACTTCCATTTTGTTTTACTTGAATTGGTATTGTTATAAAGAGATAGTCGTTTACATAAGTTTAATTTTGTCATTTTGAAACTGACCTCCGTGCAACGCACGGGTGAAATACTAGTTAGCTTGGTTGATTAATAACTATCGATTATATCCTTAATAATTTATTTTATGAGAAAGATGGTGGTGACGGTAGCTGTATTCGTGAAGCTGCTCGCAGTCGCAGCAGTGATAGATTTGTATATTGTGCTTTTATGGTGATGTGTTTGGGGATTGGTTGGTGATGGTGATGGTGTATTGTAGTGACGGTATCGCATATCAAGGTTTTTTTGAATAGATAATGTGGAGGAAGGGACATGTAAAGGAAGTCGGCGAAAGTTGGTGACGAGCTTCAGACGGAACTTAGTAGTCTATTAACGTTAATCAAATAGTGAAAATATGAATAAACTTATTTCCTATTAATGTAATGTTTGGAGGATTTTAAAAATCCCATAAAATAAATATATTTACAAATTATAATTTACTTGGAAAGACTTTAGTCATGCTTTTATTAAGTAATCCATTTCATCAATCCCGATTTTATTCAATTTTATTTCACAAGATCAATATTAAACACATACATCTATATTGGTACATATATTTAATGTGAACTTTGACCGGTTGAGAAAAAAATTGAGTATTTGACCCAAAAATAAATGATTCCGATGGTAAGTAAGTTACAAATACTACTTGTTAAGATATGGGCCCTACTGCTAAATATGAATTTGGCATAGGGCCCACACTTAATAAAGTCCCGGCGGCCCAACTCTTGAAAATGTTCGAGCTCAAATCCAGTCTAGAGTCAATCTTAATCGTCGAGATTACTTCGATTAATCACTAATCATACACGATAATGCTCGGCCTATTTAAAGTAGAAGGACCCACCAAAGCATGTGAGCCTTTTCAGGTTTAATTTGTCTATGTTCTTTTTCTTTCTTTTTTCTTTAAGAAATGACTAAACGTTGAAAATACTAAATAGAACCAGCTTATGTCATTATATGTTATTTGTCTATAAAAGAATTATTTAATAAAATTAACATGTAGTTTAAAGGATAATTATTTTTTTACTTGTTTAGATAGCGCTATTAAACTAATCTCAGTGCGAAGAGGTACTACTAATTTAATGAATAATAACATATAACATCGGTCTTTGTTTTTAGTAGTGAATTTGAAAAAATATGAATATTTAGTTAGGAAAACCTTATAGTGACAACCAAACGAGTTATCATTCAGACCAATTCTCCAAGCTAAGAAAAAAAAATTCAAATAAATTATAACAATGCTTTAAAAATATTTTATTTATTATTAATGGGATAATAATACATACTCATTACCCGCGAATACTAGAAATAAAAGTACTTCAAACTTGGCACAACACACACGTGAAACAAACAATAGCTACTATAGCTAAGATCTCCCACTTATTAGGTACAAAAACATTCAAAAAACACACACTCACACACACACACACACACACACACACACACACCATTATTATACATATGAAAATTACAATATTAATTCAAGGTTTATTTTGCAGCATGATGGGTCTCGATAGCTTTGGTGATGTCGATTGCCACAGAGAGCGGAGTGATGGGATGCTCAACGACGTCGTCGTTCAGCATTTCGTACTCGAAAGTCCATGTCACCATATCGATTTCGTTCTTAGTCTCGACGTGGCATGTTACAAGAAAAGTTTTGTATAGTTCCATTAAATCTCCTTCGAACGTTTTGAACTGTACCAATTTTTGTTCCTCGTCTATTGTTTGGACCACTTGTTTCGCCGTCTTCTCTTTACCATCTGCGTGCAATCGAAAGAACTCGTAATTATCGGATTTATTTAATTGAATCCAAATGAAGAATTAATAATTTAATTTGTTACAACAAATTAAAAAGAAAAAAATAATTGTAAATTAAGACAATAATATATAAGATAAATAGATAGATAGACTTACCATGGGTGTACCTCCAGTTGATGATACTACCAACATGACCAAATTCACCCTCATGCAGATCACAGCCTTGTATATTCCCAGGGGTAATATTGGAAAGTTGATGTGGGTTGTGTCTGATCAGTTCATGGAACACATCTCCACCAGCCTTGAATTCTATTGCAGCAATCAACTTACCTGTTAAACCCATTCCCCTAAATTTAATTTGACACAAATTAAAAATATATATTCTATTATATTATATATAAATATATAGATTAAGTTGTTATAAATGTTGATGAAATGTGGCTCTTTAAATAGATGAACCTGGGAGCTTCTCAGATATACCCCACTTGTATTTCTTAATTTATTTTGATTTATTATTTGGTACATGATATGATATATATTTCAAATCAGGGCAGTTGTATTTTTGTATTTTGCTAAAAGTATCATAACATTTCTTTAACTATTTCGTCTATTCCAACTAGTCATATGCCGCCAACAGCCTAATTTCTGCCACTACATCATTGAAAAAAAAAATATTTTTATCTAAAATGTCTTATTTTCGGTCCAAATTCTCTAATCAAGTATTCTGATTTCGGTTTTAATTGTCTAACCTAAGTTATCTATTTTCAGTTTAAGTTGTCCAACTAAGCTGTCCGGAGAGATATTTAGCAAGTTGAAAATATTCGGACCGACTGTTAACTGTACAAAATATTGTTTAGGGGGTTTTAGCAAATTTGTCCTTTTTTTTTTATAATTTTGAATCGCTACAGGCTTCCGATACCACCAAACACACGTTTTTCTTAAAATAAGTAAAAGATATCTAAATAATTAAAATAGTTAATTATTAGTATATTTTTTGAAAATAATAGCCAAGATTGGAATCCCGAGATTAAATTCGCGTAAAATTGTCAGTAAAATTGTCAGTAAAATTGTCAGTAAAATTTATTGTGTTTTTTCTACTATGCCCTTATTACTATTAAAAGAATTAATTGTTAAACGTTGAACAAATGTGGGTTTTAGTCATTTTATTATGATTTTTCTAAAATTCATTACACATTTATTAGTTTTCTTAATACGTGTGAATTAGCCGATAATAGAGGGAGTACTACACTAATTGGGAAATGTGAATCACATGGGCTGAATTTTGCATTGTTTTGAGCCCAATTACACTCTTTAAACTCAACCTGTATTTTGTATTTGTACAATCTTGATACACATGCTTTTCACACACAATCATCTCTCTCTCTCTCTCTCTCTCTCTCTCTCTCTCTCTCTCTCTCTCTCTCTCTCAATGAAGATACCATCAAGATGACCAATATCATGTTTGAATTGGAAGGAGTGGTTTTTTCGAGAAACAAATATTTTTTTATATCTAAATTCCAATAAAAGAAAAAATCAGAAATCGAAATGCCGAACAAAATAGGAAAAAAAAATCAAAAAATTAAAATTTTCGAATAGAAATTGATATAAAAACGGAAATAATGTTCGAACTCCCACCCCAAATTATAAAAGTTTATTGCATTTAGCAAGTTGTGTTTCGTCTAATTGTTAAAAAAACTCTCCATGTTATAAATACCAGAAAAAACTCACTTACGAGTTACGATGCATATTTTTAGCAAACTATCGGGTCTATTGCACTCGCTTTCCCTGTGTTATGTCAAACTACTAAAAAATACCTCATATTATTTAACTGGGAAAAATTCCCTACGATTGAATTGTTTTTGGCACACAATTCTCTAAACAAGGGTACTTACCGTTAAGAAAAAATAAATCATAGGGAGAGTTCTGTCAATAAAATAAAATAGAGCATTTTTTTAACATATCGAAATAACCCACGGTTACTAATTTATAATTGCATTAAACTTGCAAACTATCCCGTAAAAATCGCCCTTTTGCGGGTTTGTCGTAGTTTCTTCTGTATTTCGATATAACAGGTGGCTACTAAATACAATAAACTCGATTTTTTATTCTTAATGTCTAATCCAATCCTTACATTTTCTTGTATTAATGGACCACACGTGGTTCAAGAAATTAAAAGAACAAATTAATAACATATATATATATATATATACCAACTTGAACTTAATATATCTTGTTTAATTTCTCAAAAGAATAAATGAAATTAAAGAATATCCAATTCTTTTGTCCAATGTATTAATCTAATATTGTACCTTTAAACATTCACCAGGTAAAAACCCATTGAACTGTTTGATATTCTTGCAATAATCGTACATCAAATAATTACTCCTCGCCCAATTCATCTGCCGTCGTTGATCAGCATTAAGATAACTATGCACGGCGGAGCTCCACCAGTTTTCGGGTTTAGGCGCACCACATTGTGCTGTATCGGCGGGCCCGGTCTACGCACAAGCCCGTGACCTAAAACGACGTAGTTTAGCGACGAGGGGCGATTGCGTCCAATCAATTTTATCCAGGCCACCTCTAGTTGCCCAGCTGTCAACATTCCATAGGCTGGAGTAAACCCTCATTGGCTTTTGTCAGCTGTATACTCTGATTGGAATATTGTCCACGTACCACCTGCAATATATTAATAATTATTTTTTAGTTATTTTAGGGTAAATTACAAACACCCCCTGTAGGTTTGGTCCAATTTCCAAAAATCCCCCTCTTGTTTGGATAATTACATCTACCCCTCAACTATGATTTTTTCTTAGACCTCCACCTCTATGGTGCCAAATTCAACATAGTCATCTAGATTCCGTGAAATGTGATCTAGTTTGTACTCTTTTTGTGTAAAAAATACAGCTTCTGATGCACCACAAACTGATATATACAAGCTAAAAATCACATATTATGATCATATTGCTTCATAATGTAGAGTTTGAATGGGATAAAACGGGTACAAAAGTGATAATATTCCATATAATCTCGAAGATTCCACTAAATTTGATGAGTTGAGGGGGTGGTTGTAATTATTCAAACAAGAGGGGTGTTTTTGTAATTTGACCATACCTCAGGGGGTGTTTGTAATTTACCCTTTATTTTATGCTCGTTTGGTTTCTAAGATAATATTATTACACAATTTTCTAATAAGTTTTTTCATTAATATTAAATTTTCATTTATGAAAAATAAGTTTTTTGAAATTTGTATAATAAAATTTATGGTATATTACAACCACCCCTGAAGTAATGTTAAACTACGAACCCCCACCCTCTATTTGGGTAATTACAACTACCCATTAACTATGAATATTCTTACACGTCCACCCTTACGGTGTGAATTCAATATAATCTTCTAGAATTCGTGTAATGTTCTCTAATTTGTACTCGTTTTGTGCAAAAAATACAGTTTTTCTGATGCACCACAATCTGATATATACAACCCAAAAATACATCTTATGGTCATCTTACTTCAAATTGTGGAGCTCGAATGGAAAAAAACGGTTACAAGATTGAGAATATTCCATATAATCTAGAAGATTCCACTAAATTGATCGACATCGTAAGGGTGGACGTGTGAGGAGATTTATAGTTGAGGGGTGCTTGTAAATACCCAAATATGAGGGTTTTTTTTCTCGTAATTTGGCCATAACTCAGAGGTGGTTGTAATTTACCCTTAATTAAACGATACTTTAATTCGATTAATGAAACGATAACTGTTCGTTCGTTTCGCTTTCCTCGGGTTAACGATTTTCCTTGAGTAATTAAACTGGACTGTTAATTACAGTCCGACTTTTATTAATTACGACAACCTTTACTTTAATTAAACCCGATTGTTGTACTTTATATGAAGAGTCGCTTTAGAGACAACTATCCACTAAAGCAAAAACGTTTCTTCTGCTTAGAGATCAAAATCTTATCTTCATCGATTTTATTTGACTACTACTACTCATATATATATATATATATATATATATATATCATGCAATTTCAATTATTTCTGGAATATGAATCCAAACTGGAAGACGATGAAATCGTGTTTTGATCTACTTTTGACATAAATATCTCACGGTTCTTTTGCTCTTTATCTAGTTGGAACTATATACGAAGATGCAATTTTTTTTTTCCGCATGAGTATATCTCAAATGGTTTCATGGTTGATAAGTTGGTGCAAGATCCTAGGATCGTATCATGTCAGTCGCAGTGTGAACATTCTGCAAGGAAACAAAATTTCTCTCTCTTTTTTTTTTGAATGATTTTGTATATTAATTTATAAATTATTGTGCATTTTGCTCCCCCTAAAAAAATACTTATAGTCTGTGATTTTAAGTTTAAAAATTCCAATAATGATAATACATTTTAGATTATACTTATTTTAAATTGAAATAATTTGAAATACTTACTTTTTATTGTTTGATAGTTTCAAAATATGCCACACAAAAATTTGGGGTGCCGCCCTCGAACCCCGTAAATTCATAGTTCATTTTTTTCCCGATCTCGTTCATTATAACGACGCTGGGTCCAACTCTGATATAAAGATATAATATGTAAGACTTTCAGATTCAATTTTTCATTTCCAATCCTAAAATTAAATTAATTATTAAAAAAATATTTAGAAAATCTTGAACCATTGTTGATGAATAAAAGCTAGTATGGCCTCCATAAAAACTACTGACAACAAGAGTAAAAAATTATTTATCTACTAGTAATTATTTATCGACTAGCTAGTAATTACTCCCATCTCTCAACTATTGATATAATAATGATAAAATTGCAAAAAGTTCAATTAATAAATCATTGAAAATTTGAAGTCTAATAATAAATCATTTAAAAAATTTGAACTAATTTTTGTTTTTAAAAACAATAAATGTTTTAGAATTAATGAAGTCTATCTTATTTGGTCAAAATCAAGTTGACAAGTTGAAAAAAAGATAAAAAAAAAATCTTGTTTATTGCCGAACGAAAGTGAGTGGTTATTATGCAGTCTGAAAATTGGTGAATTTGATGTGTCAATTGATATTAATTAGTGTAGCTTGATTTTAGAAAAATCACATAAAAATGACGAAAATAATATTTATCATTTAATGATTTATAAGAGAGAATTATTATTTAGAGATGCATTAATGAGATTAAAACAGTAAAATTGCATTTAATACAGTATTGAAAATCTAAAGTGACGGATAATATCGAATAAAAATATTTTAACAAAGAAACAGTTATTGTAAAACACAGTGAGTACGTAATTATTTAAACATCCGAGTCATATCTTGACTGTAATTTTAGTTGACCAAATAAAATAGTAATATTAAAGTGATACTTACAAATTTTCTTATATAATAAATGGAAAAAATAGTATAACACTCTTGTTAGCAAATTCATGTAGGAGGGGATATCCCTTCTTCCTTCTAATTCGAAAGAACTTCTTTTGTTGTTAGCTTGGTTGATTAATAGGTATCGATTATATCATTAAATTTATTTTATAAGGAAGATGGTAGTGTCGGTGCTTGTATTCGTGGAGCTGCTCGTGGTAGTGATATATTTGTATATTTTCGTTTATGGTGGTCTGTTTGGATGTGGCAGTGGTTGTGATGTGTTTGAGGACTGGATGGCGATGGTGACGGTGTAGTGTAGCGACGGTATCGCAAATCTAGTCGATGGTAAGTAAGTTACAAATACTACTTGTTAAGTTTTGGCCCCTAATCCTAAATATGAATTTGAGATTGGGCCCACACTTAATAAAGTGTCGGCGGCCCAACTCTTGAGAAAATGTTCGGGCCGCAATCGAGTCTACAGTCAATCTTAATCGTCCAGATTACTTCGTTCAAATCATACACGATAATGCTAGGCCTATTTAAAGTAGACGGACCCACCAAAGCATGTGAGCCTTTTTAGGTTTGTCCATGTTTTTTTTTTCTTTTTTCGTAAGAAATAATTAAAGGTTGAAAATACTAAATATAACGAGTAGATATAAGGTTTAGAGTAAACTGCAAATACTACCCCTGTGTTATCTCAAAATAGCGAAAACCCCCCTGTGATAAATAAACTAGCAAAAAACCCCCTGTGAAATTTAGTCAAAGGCAGAATCCCCCCTAGCTGATTTTTTAGACTTGAAATGACAAAATTGTCCCTCAAAATGTATTTATATATATACATATTATATGTATATTTATTCTTTTTAACTTGTTTGTTTAGAAATTAAAAAAAATATAAAACAACTAAATTGATTATTTTTTAAATAAAATTATTAAAATATTTATAAAATATAAGAATTTATTAATTGCAAGACTCCAGGGGTATTTGTGTCTTTTTATATCAAGTCAACCCTCAAATAGTTCCATAGGGGGGTTTTTGCTATTTAAATAATTTCACAGGGGAGGTTTTTGCTAGTTTATTTATCACAGGGGGGTTTTTGCTATTTCGAGATTACACAGGGGTAGTTTTTGCAGTTTACTCTATATTATATAATATATATATGGTTAGATTAGTTAGTACGATGTTCGGTTAATTGACTTAAATTTTATATTAAATCTCTTTAATTATGGCATTATATGTGATTTGACTATAAAAAAAAATTTGTTTTTAGATTTCATATTAAATCTCTTTAATTATGGCACTATATGTGATTTGTCTGTCTATAAGAAAATTTATTTAATAAAATTAACATGTAGTTTAAATGATTTTTTTTTACTTGTTTAGATAGATAGCCTTATTAAACTAATCCAAGTGTGAAGAGGTACTACTAATTTAATTATGAATAATAACATTTAATAACGGACTTTGTTTTTTGTAGTGAGTTTGAAAAGATATGAATATTTCTACCGAATGTGTTACTTAACCCTACTATTTAATCAAAAGAACCTTATAGAAGCAACCAAAAGAGCTATCATTCAGACCAATTATATTCTAAAAATCTTATTGACACACTAATTCTCCAAGCTAAGAAAAAAAAATTTAAATAAATTATAACAATGCTTAAAAAGGATTTTATTTATTATTAATTAATGAGATAATACAAACTCATTACCCGCGAATACTAGAAATATTAGAGTACTTCAAACTTGGCACAACACACACACACACACCATTATTATATATACAATATGAAAATTACAATATAAATTCAACGTTATGAATTATTTCCCAACATGATGCGTCTCGATATCTTTGGTGACATCGATTACGAAGGAGAGCATAGCGATAGGATGCTCAACGACGTCGTCGCTCAGCATCTCGTACTCGAAGGTCCACGTCACCAGATCGATATCGTTCTTAGTCTCGACGTGGAATGTTACTAGAAAAGTTTTGTATACTTCCATTAAATCTCCTTCGAACGTTTTGAATTGTACCAATTTTTGTTCCTCGTTTATCTTTTGGATCACTTGTTTCGCCGTCTTCTCTTTACCATCTGCGTGTGCAATCGAAAGAATTACTCGTATTTATCGGATTTATTCAATTGAATCCAAATGAAGAATTAATAATTTAATTTGTTACAACAAATTAAAGAAAAAAAAATTTAAATTAAGACAATAATATATATATATATATATATATATATATATATATATATATATATAAGATAGATAGATATAAGATAGATAGACTTACCATATGTGTACCTCCAGTTGACGATAGTACCAACATGACCAAATTCACCCTCATGCAGATCGCATCCCTGTACTTTCTCAGGGGTAATATCGGTAATTTGATGTGGGTTGTGCCTGATCAGTTCATGGAATACATCTCCACCAGCCTTGAATTCTATTGCAGATATCAACTTACCTGTTAAACCCATTCCCCTAAATTTAATTTGACACAAATTAAAAATATGTATTTTATTATATTATATATATAAATATATAGAATTAAGTTGTTATAAATGTTGATGAAAGGTGGCTCTTTAAATAGATGAACCTGAGAGCTTCTGAGATATATACCCCACTTGTATTTTTAAAAATATCTTAGATTTATAGTTTGGTACATAATCAGATATATATTTCAAGTCAGGAGAGTCGTATTTTCGCATTTTTGTTAAAAATATCATGACATATTTTCGATTATTCCGCCCCTCCCAACTAGTCGCATGCTGCTGGCCGCCGAATTTATGCCACGACATCACTGAAAAAATATTATTTTTATCTAAAATATCTATTTTTCAGTCCAAGTTTTCTAATTAAGTATTCTGATTTCGGTTTAAATTGTCTAACCTAAGTTATCTATTTTCAGTTTAAGATGTATATTTTCGGTTTAAGTTATCCAACTAAGTTGTGCGGATGGATTTTTAGCAAGTTCAAAGTATTCGGACAGACCGTTGAATGTACAAAATATTGTTCAAGGGGTTTTAGACAAATAAATATTGTTTAGGGGGTTTTAGCCAATTTATCATTTTTTTTATAATTTAAATCGCTACAGGCTTACGGTATCACCAAACACACGTTTGTTCTTCCCCAAAATATTAAAATCTTATCTATTACGTTTTATGATTTGATTGCATTATATAAATAATTGTATTAATTTCAATTTCTGGAATTTCGATTTACTTTTGATATAAATGATCACGATCCCTTTTACTCTGTATTGCATTTGAGATATCAGAAATTGCAAACAATTTTTTTTTAGTTTTAATAATTTTATAAATAAGTAAAGAATATCTAAATAATTAAAATAGTTAATTATTAATATATTTTTTAAGAAAATAATAGCCAAGATCGGAATCACGAGATTAAATTGGGGTAAAATTGTCATTTCCAAAAGCTGATGTGGCTTCCACTAAACCACCGACAACATCATTATTCATTACAATCACTACCGACAAATGTATATTGGAATGCGAATTTTTTAAAGTAAAAAAAAGAAAGAAAAAAAAACAAATTCATGTTATTTGTATTTCTATAGAATTTTTTTCATTTCAAACTAATTTAGGATTTCAACGAAGTATTTATTGTATTTTTTCAACTATGCCCTTATTACTATTAAGAGAATTAATAGTTAAACATTTAATAAAAGTGGTTTTTAGACATTTTATTATATTTTTTCTAAAATCCATGCACATTTATTAATTTTCTTAATATATTAAATTAGCCCGTAAATACAATTAAAATGAAATGGAGGAAATAATACACGAATTGGGAAATGTGAATCACATGGGCTGCATTTTGCATTTTTTGAGCCCAATTGCACTCTTTAAACTCAGCCTGTATTTTGTTTTTGTACAAAAAAAAATTCCTTTTTTTTTTTTTTTTTTTTTTGCAAATAAAAACAATTTTATTAAATAAACTTCTCCAGGTCGAGGAAGAATATAATCTTCCATCATATCTATTACATTTTGTTGAACAAGAGAGTGAGCTAAAGAATTTCCATCTCTTTTAACGAATGAAAAGGAACATGTAACAAAAGTTTTGCTGATCGACAAGCACTCATAATAGCCTCGAACGACTCCATACCATCTACTCCCCGATGAAGAGCATTTATCACCTCGAGACTGTCACCTTCGATCATAATTTGTCTCCATCCTCGGTCAATTGCTACCATCATGGCGTGTAAAGCTGCTCGGAAAGCACCTCTCCATCTGCTATCTTTGGTCTACCTTGAAGCTTACGAATACTCCACCAGACACACTGGTTATTATGATTCCGCGACACCATAGCCACTTGGAACTATTTTTTTCCCTGAACAAAACCTGCATCAAAATTGATTTTGATAATTTCAGTCGGCGGCGGCAACCACTTGGAAGCGGCAGCTCTAGGTATACCAGAATGAACCTCACATATAGAAGCCCTACGATTTCGATACACATGCTTTTCACACACACAATCAGCCCACTCACCACTACACATTCACATATCTCTCTCTCTCTCTCTCAATTCCAATAAATAAATAAATAAAGATTCGAAAAAATCAGAAATCGGAATGCCGAACAAAATAGAAAAAAAATCCAAAAATTGAAATTGATATAAAAATGGAAATAATGTTCCAAGTCCCGCCCCAAATTATATAGGTTTATTGCATTTAGCGCGTTGTGTTTCGTCTAACTGTTAAAAAAAACTCCCTTACGATGCATTTTTTTAGCAATCTATCGGGTGCATTGCACTCGCTTCCCCTGTGTTATGTCAAACTACTAAAAACTACCTCATATTATTTTAACGGTAAAAATTCCCTATGATTGAATTGTTTTTGTTGGCACACAACCTTCTAAACAAGGATACTAACTGCTAGGAAAAAATAAATCATAGGTGGGAGTTTTGTGAATAAAATAAAATAGAGCATTTTTTAATCAATCGATATAACCCACGGTTACTAATTGCGTTAAACTCGCAAACTATCCAGTAAAAGATTGCCGTTTATGGATTTGTTATAGTTTCTTTTGTATTTCGATACAACACGTGGCTACTAAATGCAATAAACTCGATTTTTAATTCTTAATTTCTAATCCAATCCTTACATTTTCTTGTATTAATGGACCACACATTGTTCAAGAAATTAAAAAATATATATATACACCAACTTGAACTTAACATATCTTGTTAAATTTCTCAAAAGAATAAATGAAATTAAAGAATATCCAATTCTTATGTCCAATGTATTAATCTAATATTGTACTTTTAAACATTCACCAGGTAAAAACCCATTGAACTGTTTGATATTCTTGCAATAATCGTAGATCAAATAATTACTCCTCGCCCAATTCATCTGCCGCCGTTGATCAACGTTAAGATAACTATACATGGCGGAGCTCCACCAGTTTTCGGGTGTAGGCGCACCACATTGGGCTGTATCGGTGGGCCCGGTATACGCACAAGCCCGTGATCTAAAACGACGTAGTTTAGCGACGAAGGGCGATTGCGTCCAATCAATTTTATCCAGGCCACCCCTTGTTGCCCAGCTGTCAGCATTCCATAGGCTGGAGTAAACCCTCATTGGCTTCTGGTTTGGGTATGGGATTCCTTCTCCTTGGTAGTTTCTGTATACTCTGATTGGAATACTGTCTACATACCACCTGAAATAAATTCATAATTATTTATTTTAGGGTAAATTACAACCATCTCCTGAGGTATGGTTAATTTACGAAAAAAATCCCTATTGTTTGGATAATTATATATATCCCTCAATTATGATTTTTTCTTACACCTCCACCCTTATGGTGTCAAATTCATCATAATCATCTAGATTTCGTGGAATGTGCTCTAGTTTGTACTCGTTTTGTGTAAAAATGCAGTTTTTGATGCACCACAATCTGATATATACATGCCGAAAAACACATATTATGATCATCTTGCTTCAAAATGTGAAGTTCGAATGAGATAAAACGCGTACAAAAGTGACAATATTCCATATAATCTCGAAGATTCCACTAAATTTGAAACCGCAAGGGTGGACATGTAAAAATATTTATAATTAAGGGGTGGTTGTAATTACCCAAATAGGAGGGGGGTTCGTAATTTGACCATACCTCAGGGGTCGTTGTAATTTACCCTTTATTTTATGCCTGGTTTGGTTTCTAATACAATATTATAATAAATTTTTTCATAAATTTTATTTTTTCAATTATAATTTTCTTTTTGTTTTTTTGAAATTTGTAGAATAAAATTTAAGGTAAACTACAACCACCTCCTGAGATAATGTTAAATTACGAAGAAAAAAAACCCTCATATTTGGGTAATTACAACTACTCGTCGATTATGAATTTTCTTACACGTCCATCCTTATGGTGTCAAATTCAACATAATCTTCTAAATTCCGTGAAATATTCTCAAGTTGTACTCGTTTTGTGCAAAAGTGAAGTTTCTGATGTACCACAATCTGATATATACAAGCCAAAAAAACACATTTTATGATCATCTTGCTTCAAAATGTGGAGCTCGTCGGGAATAAAACAGGTACAAATTAGAAAATATTCCATATAAACTAGAAGATTCTACTAAAACGTATAAGAAGATTCATAGTTCATAGGTGATTGTAATTACCCAAACACGAGGAGTTTTTCGTAATTTGACCCTAATTCGCTGGAATCTTCCAGTTGGTGCTCTTAATTTAACCTAGTTTCCTAAACTCGTGCACCGGCCTATCGAACAAAGGACCAGATTCCCAGTCATCAATTTCATTTCGTACTTCAAAAATTAGAAAAATTCATGCTATGAAATATTTCTTTTATAAATTAAATTAGATTAATTATAGTTTATTGGAAATAAATATAATTAATATAATTTGCAGATTAATTAATTAAATTAAAATAAAAAGACTTACACAACTTGAGATGGATTCCAATGGATGGTGTAGTTATGGTAATCTTCCGACGGGTCGAACCACGGGTAGAACTGCTGCTCTCGTCCTCCTCCGCCGTCTGTATATATATTTGTATGTATAATATATGGCTGCCCTGATTTATTTCCCAGAAATTCAAAATCTATTTCATCATGCTTCTCCCCATTTGAAGACAACTACAATAAATCAAAAAAATCAAAATTAAAAATCATTCAATATGTAGCAAAATTAAATTTTCTTGAAAAATACAATATATAATAATTTCCCTTACATAATAAGCAGTGACGGTGCCAGCAGAGTTTCCGGGTACAAGCTTGATCAGCATTTCGAAACTTCCAAATAAAAACGACGTCTTCGATTTAATTCCAGAACCTGCATAATAAATATATACCTAATATTAATTACATGATCTATATATATATCGAGAAAAATAAATTAAATAAAATTACCGGAAGTCTGGTCGAGTACTAAGGTAGCATCGTCGCCGGAGTCGAGAAAAGATGAATGCTGAGAGCCCCAATTGAAATACATTGTCTTAACGAAGTTTGCCTCATCGACTAAATCGGAATGAAACGTTAGAGCCGAGAAATAAATTGCGACGAATGTTAAAGCTGCAATGAAGATTGCTAGGCTTAGGAAAAGGATATTCGCCATTAATATTAATATTTTTGTGGTGACATCCAACACGATTCAACAACAAGACGACCCTCTACTCTGTCTGTAACCGGCCTTTTAATTAATGTATTAACATCTTTTCGTCTTTCGAAAAAACGGAATATTTTTTATTGTTTATGTATATTTTTCTGACGCGGCGGAGTCTTTCGAGCTGTTAATCAAATATATATATACAAGAGAGAGAGAGAGAGAGAGAGAGAGAGAGAGAGAGAGAGAGAGAGAGAGAGAGAGAGAGAGAGAGAGAGAGAGAGAGAGAGAGAGAGAGAGAGAGAGAGAGTTGTGTTAATTATCAAATAGCACCTCACTTAGATGATGAAAGAATAAGACACATTATTTCTTTTGACCATGTCTTTTGAAGCAATCATAGTACAGCTTTTTTGCAGAAGAACAAAGTTAATTAAATATTAATCAATTTTTAATTACATTATCTGGACAAATAACATGTGCAGCTTACAACAAAATCCCGTGAAATAAGAACTTACTACCACCAAAACAAAAAAAAAAAAAAAAAAAAACCTTACTTAAGCGTAGATTATTCAGTAGTTCTGTTATTT